TGATGTTGAGAGAAAAAAAATAAAAATAAAAATAAAAATTGAAAGATAATTTATAGATTATTATTTTGATTATTTTTTGTTTAAATAATTATTGTTTGGATTGTATTTCAAAATACTACTTTAACATGATTATTTTTATGTGAATATTAAAAATAAAAATTATTAAAAAATTCCCATAATTAAGAAGATATAATAGTAATTTTTAACTCAATTAAAAAAATTATTAATTTAGACTAAAATTTTATAATTTTATAAAATGACTAGTAACTTTAAATTTTGTCCTCTTATGTGAATTTCTACCTATGCCACTGTCCACTAGGAAGTAATATCTCTGCCTGCCTTATCATGGTTATCACACGAATGAGAATTATCATTGTTGAACCGGCCTTTCTGTCCAATGATTTGACACTAAATCTTAAGTGTTTGGGTGAAATGATTGAAGTTTTAAACTCTACTACCGTCGTAAATTTCACCAAAACGCGATTTGATGGTCGCGTGCTTCGTTTAAGGGAGTGGAATGTTCACCCGATTTTAGAACCTGTTGTTAACAACTAACTCATACTAACTTTTTAACTATTATTATTGTTAGAAAAAAAAAAAAGAATTATCATTGTTAAATTGAAATTATTATAATTAAAATATTATGTAATATTATAATATTATATTTTTATATAATTAAATTTTTTTATTTAAAAATTTATTTATAATATAATATATATTTAATATTTTATTTTATTTTATTTAATAATATATAAATTTATAAATTTATAATACCATATAATTTTTCATCTATATAATATTGACTTTCACAGATAAGAGAAGCATCTCAAGCATGCGGTCGCTGCCATCTCAAAGATCTTTTAAAAATAAAAAGAAATAACATGTAACAATATTGGAAGAGTGAGACAGGAGAATACGATAAAAAATCTAAACTCAGTGCCAGGTTAGATGTGACAGTCCAATACCTCATAATAAGAGTTTGATTTTTTCGAAAAAAAAATGTTAGAAACCTCTATGAACTTCAGCATTTTATCCCAAAAAAAGAAAAAAAAAAAAAAAAAAGGAAAGGAAGGAAAATCGTACCTATAGTAATGAACGTGGCTTGACAAATTGTTCAATCAAAATGAGAAAGAAAGCTAATAGGAAAGATCGACCTT